ACAGCTCAATTGGCCATATGAGAGAAGTAGATGGATTTTGAGATATCAAATGCTTTTATTAAGAATATACCAGTATTTGCTCCAATGAACTTGCTTGGATGTTGAGGTCCTCTTCAGGGCCCTCTACCATGGATAGTGACCAGAAATAGGGTGTCACCACTGAAAAGACCCTATATTTTGAATATTCTCCTAAGAGAGGATCTCCTTTATCATTTTGCTGCTAGGAGAAGAGTCCAACACAGCTTTTAAAATGCTGTTTATTCTTGATAACTCTAGTTTATCTGTTTTTTTAACATCTAATTTTGCTATTTTAAAGTTATCATTGTTGATTCTGATTGCACTTAGTTGCTTCAGTGCATTATGAGTGGTGAGCCACACTGGGAAACTTTAGGACTGAAAAGCATAAAAGGAATTTATTAAATAAACAAGAAGCAGCAAATTTCTCTCTTGTCAACCACATTTCTGGGAAAACATTGTTACTTTGGGTATTTTAAATTCAGAAGAAACAATGTGATGCAAAATTGGATGAAAAGAAGGTTTAAAAATAATATTCACTTGAAGCTCATTTTGTGGAAGAATTGCAGATCTGAGGCATTAATGTCATTCACAGGGAGATAGATCCACTACAGAATGTGTCAATATCAGTTTCTCTCTATTTATTATTTTCCCAATCCTAAATGTCTTCATGCAAATTAATTAGCATTTAAGTGTGGATTTCTCATAACACACACATTTTTGCATGCTATTTTTTGATATGCACATTTTTGAAAAGCAATTTCCCTATAATGCATTTTTAAAATCATTCCCACAAGTATATGCATTTTTCTGCACACTACCCTAGCACATGCATTTTCATGCACATTGCTTCACTGGAGAACTGCACTGCAAAATTCAGAGCAGTGTGAATTTTAAAGGGTGGCTGTGTTTCGGTTCACATCTTGTTTTGAAAATTGCAAATCAGATAAATCTGCCTTTAAATGCTAAATGAATCAGATTTCTCTCTCATCCCTAACTAAAGAAGGTGGTAAGTTACCACCTTCTTTAGTTGCAAGAACGTATCGGAAATCTAACAAAATGTCTCTTGCATGTACTCCAGTTGCCAATCTGCCAATGGACTCATACAAGTAGTCCACATTCAAAGTATCTTTTAAGTAGTCAGGTTGGCCTGCAGTAATCTTACACTCAGCTTGCTCAGTTGTAATAAATTTCTAGAAAATGTTAAATAGAGCATCTGGCTACTAGCCTATGCATGCGAATGAATTCCATCTAGGGCTACCAGAACATCCGCTAATCAACATGCCCTTTTCCTAATGGCTTATTTGTACACACAAAAACTGGTCTTAATGTCTAATGGCCCAAGAAACCAGAAGCTTATTAGCAAAATTAACTAGAGTGCAGAGAGTTTGCTATGTTTGCGTGAGAGATAGTGGCTTTGACGTGATCTCAACAGGAGATGTGTTTTGCTGAACTGCAGATCTGCTCTGAGTTCAGCCTGGGGGGGGGGAGGAACATACAGAATTCCCTGCAATATCCAGATGCTACTTCAGTGATTGAAGCAAGGGAGAATTCATACTGTAGTCCACCATTTGGAAAAGACTGATATCTGTCCCAAAACTGGACAAAGAGACTTTTATCTGCACCGACAAAAGACCTCTTTGAAGCTCTGCCATTCAGTCAGGCAGCATTTTGTGTCTGGTCAACTTTCTGTTTGGAACCATGAAGACTGGATAACTACACAGACATATGGGTGGTCTCAGAACATCTGGATGAGAGCCAAACACATGCCCTAACTTAAAAAGTCAGTCACTCCAATTTTGAAGAACAAAATGGGAGTCCAGGATCATCAGTGGAAGCCATAGATGAACCCCCAGCTTAAGAGACATGTATATATAATAACTCAGACCACACCATGCAAACAAATAAAAAGGCAGATCAGCTTTATTTATTTAAAACATTTCTATACCACCCTTCACCACTGATTCCAGGGTGCTTCACAGCAGTACATGTGCATTTCTAATAAAAAAATCAACACATTAAAATATGCACAAATTACCTCAAAGCAGCAGCAACCAACAGGCCAATTTCTACTAAAAGCTAACCGCAAATGTGTGGATGAACAAACAAGACTATAGCAGACAGTGAAAACTTATCGAAGTCTATGCTTGCCTGATTTCAGAAGAAAAATGATTCTATAAACAGAAAAGGCCCTCTCCATAGCTGACACACAACAAATCTCAGCAGACTGTGACAAAACCAAGAGGAATGCACCTAACAATCTCAACATGCAAGAAATTCTAGCTATGTGGGATATGTAAAAGGTAATGGAAAATGACCCCTGGATGGCTGAGTCCAGTCAAAGGCAATTATGGGGTACAGTGCTCATCTCACTTTCAGTCTGAGGGAGCTGGCATTTGTCCACAGACAGCTTTCCGGGTCATATGGCCACCATGACTAAACCCCTTCTGGTGCAACAAAACACCGTGATGGAAACCAGCATGCACAGAAATGCCGTTTACCTTCCCGCCGCAGCTGTACTTATTTATCTACTAGCACTAGTGTGCTAATAATAATAATAATAATAATAATAATAATAATAATAATAATAATTTATACCCAGCCCTCCAAGGCCGGGCTCAGAGCGGCTTACAAGCAATAATAAAAACAAGTTGACTAATAATAATAATTTATTATTTATACCCTGCCCTTCTGGCTGGGTTTCCCCAGCCACTCTGAGCAGCTTCCAGCAGAATATTAACTGCTAGGTTGGCAGAAGCGACACATACATACACATAAACAGCCTCGGTCCTGTATACCTGAAGGAGCATCTCCACCCCCACCATTCAGCCCGGACACTGAGGTCCAGCTCCGAGGGCCTTCTGGTGGTTCCCTCCAGGCGAGAAGTGAGGTTACAGGGAACCAGGCAGGTGGCCTTCTCGGTAGTGGCGCCCGACATGTGGAATGCCCTCCCAGCAGATGTCAAGGCAATAAGCAACTATTACTTTTAAAAGACATCTGAAGGCAGCCCTGTTTAGGGAAGGTTTTTAATGTTTAATGCTGCATTGTGTTTTTAATATTCAGTTGGGAGCCACCCAGAGTGGCTGGGGAAACCCAGCCAGATGGGCGGGGTAGAAATATTTTTATTGTTGTTGTTGTTGTTGTTATTCACTTACTAGGGTGGACAACTATCTGTGGATGATATTGCAGATTCGTTTCCGGGCCATGAAAGGGCCACCCAACCACTGACTGTAGCTCACATAAACAACTTGTTCTGCATGCACCATATTCCCAAGAAAGCTGCACCCATCTAAAAGCAAGGCTAGGCAAGACAGTTGTCAGCCTCCTGAAAGCTTTCTTTTACAGAATTGCAGCTGGAGGGAGAATGTGATCCAAATTTGGAGGAGTGCAACTCATCTCTTTTCCCCCTGCAGGAGGGCAAGCAGTTGAGAGCAGACAATTTTGACACACATGAGAGGGAGGGAGGGAGAGAGACAAAGAGAACCAATGAAAATGTGTTAAGGACTCTTTCCACTCTTAACAGCAGAAACACATTTCTGTATTCTGTGATTGTGACAGCATTTGGGGAGCTGCTACTGTCACAGAAACACTGGTGGGAGCAGCCCACCTTTTTTTCCAACCATGTCCTGGTGAATCCTGAACACCAAATGCCAGTTTGTTATGCCTGCATTGCCAGAAATCAAAACTTACAGCACTACAACCACCTTCTGCTGTCACTAGACAAAATCACAAATGCAAATGCTGTGAACTGCATGTAGTTACATTTCTCACGGATGCCTCACACCTGCTTGCGGAGATACCCCAAAAACTTCCCTTAGGCCATATCTCATCTTTACCAGTATCATGAAAATAGAGCCCGACTTCTAGATCTGAGCTGGCTAGATCAACATGCTAGATCTAAGGTGCCTATAGAGTTGATAAGAGTGAAAGACTAAAACCTCTACTAATGTACCACTGATTTGTACAGAACTAGAGAACTTTGAAAATGAAATGCATGGATAGGGACAAGAATCGTCCCCGGCACCCACTGTTTGCACCTCTGACTTGCATATATTGACTGTTCTGTGCACACAATATAACTTGTGTATGCAGCAGCGTAGTGCATGCAGTGTACAGAGTTTGCGTGTTGTGCAGCTTTTGCATTTGGGGCACTTAAGAGCATTCAGTGGATGGAGAACAAGCTACAGACCAGGGGCAGGGGTGGGGCACATGGCAGTGTGAGCTGGGCAAAACCGGGCAGAGCAACAAAAATAAATTTTATCTTTGTGCGGTAGGGTTGTTACTTATGCAGAATCTCAAGCAGTGTTCTAGCTATGGTCCAGTCAGGGAAGCAAGGGGCATTCTCAGGTTTCAAGGACAAATTTCTGCTTGGGAGAAGTGCTCAAGAAGGCTGCAAAGCAGGGTTAGAGAGGGGCATGGCTGGAGAGGGTGTGTGGTCTGGGTGGAGTCCCCAAGGCAGTGGCGGAGGAACCCTCTCCGGCACCCGGGGCAGGGCAGCCCATACGGAGTGCGCATGTGCGGCATCCCGTACGGTCACTGTGCAAGAGGCAGTCTGTACGGACGCCTGTATGGATGGCGCACAAGAGCGGCAGCCCATACGGTTGCCGTGCAAGAGGCAGCCCATACGGACAAGTGTGCGAGAGTGGCAGCCTGTACATACGTCACGCGAGCAGTGCCCATATGGACTGCGTGTGCGCTCGCCCACTCTACAGCTGGGGAGAGGCAAGGGCCATCTTGTCACACACACACCCCAGAGTGGCACCCGGGGCAGACTGCCCCCTCTGCCCCCCCACTTCATACGCCCCTGCCCCAAGGGCCTGGAGGGCCACATTCGAATTCTGGGCCTAAGGTCTCCCATGTAGACATGTGGGCATGATAACCCATGTGCTCCCTGTACACTGTTGGAAGACTGTGAGATAAGAATCATAGAGTTGGAAGGGACAACGAGGGCCATCTAGTCCAACTGCCTGGAATGCCGGAATCTTTTGCCCAATGTGGACCTTGAACTTACAACCCTGAGATTAAGGGTCTCATTGCTCTACCGACTGAGCCATCTGATTCAACCAGTGTGGCATGCAAACATCTGTATCAGCAACCTCTTTGGAGAACAAGCTTTGAAAAATATTCTACAGATTATTTTTTTACCCCTTCTAATCAGCTAATTACCCCGGAAAGTTTATGCAATTAATCATGTGTCCGCAGAACAGACAAATAAAATTTTTATAGGGGGAACTAGCATTTTATTGCCTATTAAGTTGTTTGCCCTTCTCTAGGAGAGCATCCTTTTTATTGAGGTGTGTGCATATCTGTGTGTTTGCACTGAAATCCACTGGCAATTACACAGACATAAATAACGAATTGCATTGTTTAATGTTGTTTAAGAGTTATTAAACAGATCACATGCTCATAAAGGACTCATTTAGATTTCTTAGTAATTAGTATAATGGTTGCGCTTTATGGGAACATTCCCACCCCCTCTCTTGCATAAATTGTGATTTGAGCTTTCTTCCCCCCCCCCCCCCCCCGGTAATCTTGCTTTTAACCAAAAAGAGAGAGTAAAGAAAAGAGAAGAAACTAAACGAGCAAAACTCTCATTTGGTGCCCTCTATTGATCAAATCACGAACAGCACTATCTGTCCCAAACTAAAAGGCATGGTTATGTTGTTTTCAGGTACATAATTGCCTTCTTGCATTTCTATCAGGGAAGGAAAAAGCTGATTCAGAGTGAGCAAGTGCCTCTAATATAACGGAAAAATGCAAAAACTGAGGTTTGCAGTGTATAAAGGGCCCTAACAAGTCTCCAAAATTCATGAAGAAGGCTGTACACTGAGCACATGTCAACATACATACTGAAACTGGTCTAAATGTTTTAGCTTTGTCCCTGTCCTGCAAGAAACCACAGGCATTATAATTCTTGGGAAGGTGGCATTCTTAAGAAATTATACTCTGCTCCCAAACTTTGTCCTTTTAGCTCCTGAAGAATCATAAGCATTTTGCAGATGTTTAAGGGAAATGTATGTTAGCTTAAAGAATGGAGTCAGCAAATGCAGGCTCCCCTCAAAAGTTATTGTTTCTGCCAAACCTGTCTGCATGGAGAAGGAAGATCTGACCGAGAACTCCTTGCAACCAGGAACCCTGATAAAACAGGGTTTCTGATCATGGGGAAGATTCTAAGTCTGTTCACCTGAATCCAAAAACTACAACTAAGCCAGCCAATCTATTCATTGATGCACACTGCAGCAGATGGGCATTTAAAATGATCTCCCATACAGAGATGCTCATCTCTAATCTGCTAGTCCCAACTGGATTTAGATTCAGAATGTCTATAACCTCCAGACCATGCTTACCTAGTAATGAGTCCCATGGCAAATGAACAGCAACGACAAAGATAAAGTTTCTTGTGAATGAGTTCCCCAAAAAAATCACTTGGCAATCCATTTTAGGGCACCTTATGATACCACATTTCTAGAAGTGTTTGCTGTCAATTACAAATTTGTAGAGGGAAGTTAACCACAAACCAGTTCAGTCCAACATACAGTCCAATTATCCTGCAGAACTTTAGATGCATTTAAGTTTCATTTTACATTAAGCAGGCTGAAAGCTATGAACGAGTGTTAAACTGCTATGGATTGCTGTATAGTCACTGAATTAACTTCCTTCCTTCTGTGGAAAGCACATTCACCATACACAACAAACCACTCCCATGAGATCAAATCCATGTGCCCTGACAGCTGCTAGCCATATGTTATGTTAAAACTAGTTTTGTTCTAGGGCAGTGTTATTATTTCTTATTCACTAGCAGGGGCTGAAGGGAGTTGTAGTCCAATACATCAAGGGGCCGTCCGTTTGTCAAGGGATGGGCTAGACCAATATTGCTGTTGCCAACCAGGTCATTCCTTTCCGCCGTTACTTCACTTTGAAAGCTTGATTTTGTGAGAGACCGCTGTTGCTTACAGGAAGGAAAGTGCCAAATGGGAGTGTCAAAGCAAGACAGAACTTGAACCCCTGAGGGAGGCAACAGGTCTGCTGTCACCATGGCAAAGGAAATACCAATTAGATATGAAGAAAGCAATGCTTTGGAGATGAAGCTTGGATCTTTTATTTATGGTGGACATAAATATTGGATTTGTTCATGAATACTGTTGTGGAATATTGAAATTCATGAATATTCCAGAATGGTGGTAGCTAGAGAATACTAGATTTGCATATGCTTTTTCCTAGAGGTATAAGATACTAGAACAATTACTAGCAAACCTAAAGGATAACGATTTGGAATCCAGACTAAGTGAATTGTGATTAGATCCCCACAAATTAATGCGACACAAGCAATGATTAACTTGTCCCACTGGATTTAATGGGAATCAAGTTCAACTACTGGGACACGGGTGACTACTGGGATGCAGGTGGCACTGTGGTCTAAACCACTGAGCCTCTTGGGCTTTCCGATCAGAAGGTTGATGGTTCGAATCCCCGCGACGGGGTGAGCTCCCATTGCTCAGCCCCAGCTCCTGCCAACCTAGCAGTTTGAAAGCACGCCGAAAAGTGCAAGTAGATAAATAGGTACCACTCTGGTGGGAAGGTAAACCGTGTTTCCGTGCACTGCTCTGGTTTGCCAGAAGCGGCTTAGTCATGCTGGCCACATGATCTGGAAAAACTGTCTGCAGACAAATGCCAGCTCCCTTGGCCTGTAAAGCAAGATGAGTGCCGCAACCCCAGAGTCGTCTGTGGCTGGACTTAACTGTCAGGGTTCTTTACCTTTTTAAGTTCAACTAACTTAGCCTGGATCCAACCCAATATGTGCAAATTAAGGGTTTGGATTCAGATGTGGTCATGGTAAGAATAGACCCACTGAAATCAATGGGGAAAGTTAGTCATGACTTAGATCCCACACCAATGAAGTACAATTGAATAGGGCGTTTTGGATGCATGGTGGCATAGACATCGTACTGACAAGATGCTTCACACCTTACAAGCTACTGCAGTTTCTCTAGCGCTCACCCCATGCTGCTGAATGTACAAGTAAAAAGCGAGGGGGAGAAAAAGTACGTCTTGAAATACACAGTGGAAAAGCACAAGGAAGCTACTGCTTATTGCAGTTCTCTGGCATGCAGGCATCACAGATATATAATCGTAGAATTGTAGAGTTGGAAGGGTCATCTATTTCCTGCAACACAGGAATCACAACTAAAGAATCCTTGTCAGATGGTCATCCAAATTCTGTTTAAAAAACCGCCAGGGATGGACAGTCCACCACCACCCTCCGAGGGATTCCGTTCCACTGTCAAACAGCTTTTACCGTAAGAAAGTCATTTAGTCGACATCTGAATCCACTGGTTCAGGTCCTACCATCTAGAGACACAGAAAACAGGCTTGCTCCATCCTCTATGTGACAGCCCTTCCGATATCTTGCAAATGATATCACATCACCTCTCAGTCTTCTCCAAGCTAAACAAACCCAACTCCCTCAACTGTTCCTCTTAAGACTTGGTTTCCAGAGCCTTTATATCCATCACTGTATGGTGATAAGCACGTCCCTTCACACCTGATGTGTTCACCACAACAAATACTGGATAAACACCAGTGGCACTTGTGTGGAGCCGTTCTGTCTTATATGTAAGGAGCATTTCATGTATGCAACCTGACCACTTACTTTTTCCATCCTTCTAGTGGTGGAAAGGGCTTATATGGAGAAACCTCTGCATGGATTTGGCTGCTCCTCTCCAGCAGCTGACAGTCAAGTCACTGGTGGTTTTACCATTTTTCTGACCATCTGCCTGACCTTCCATGCCAATATGCAGGGAATAAAAAACAAGCCTTAACTGGTAGGAGAGTCTCAGATGTTGAAATTTGCACATGTGCATTGTTTTGGAGAATTTAGAAAGCTGGTGGCAAACCAATATACTCTCCATCAATGGCATAAATATTTGGCTATCCTGTCCAATCTAGGTCATATGCACAGCAGCAATTGCTATTAGTACATTGACCCTTTCATAATAGCTACATGTAGCTTAAAGCAGGAGTGGGAAACTTTTTTTATGTTAAGGGACACATAAGACGGGGTAGAAATTCATTCTTAATTTCAGTGCAAACCTATCTAATTTTCACTTTCTGAAACCAAACCGAAACACAGCGATCCTATGAAATTTGCACTTCTCTGAATTTTGTGGTGCAGTTCTTCAATCAAATAATATGTACAAAAATTGTATGTTGGGGAAAGGGTCATAAAAATGCACATATTGCTGCTCTATAAAACTGTATTCTATTATTGCCAAATGTATATATCTGGCACATGTTAACCTCCCCCCCCAAAAAATACCCTATTAGAAAAAAATAGTCATAAAATGTTGATTATTTTTCACAAGGGCCTTTTGAAAAAATAATACGCAAACTGATGCAGAAATGTGGAGAACTGAACTTAAAAATGGAAAAATGAGAAATGGAGAGAAAAACAGAAATTGACATATTTGTCTATTCCTGGGGTCACATACCCCAGAGGAAATATCTTGGGGACTCTGTATGTGTCCCTCCCTCCCTCTGTTTCCTCATGCTTTCTGCTACAAACCTTTCCACGTGGCAATGAGGCATGGATAGACCTTTTCTCCCTGAAGCCTTATTGACATAGGAGATTGGGGGGGGGGGACACAACTGCAGTGCAAAATAAGGGTTATTCACTCTCCTCCACAGCTGCAATCCCCCCACCCAAACTTGCCCTCCCCACATGGCAATTGAGCTTATAGGAGCCTAATAATCCTGCAGAGGAGTAATCAACAGCCACTAAAAACATACGATAGACACTTAAATATTACATTTCACATATAGTCCCACACCCCAGCTGGAAATTTATGGCAAAAAAAGAGAGGACTGCACAAAACCAGAATGGTTGCAACCAAACTTTTGATGCTTCTTAAAGAACACATGAAAAGATTGTATCATTTGTGTTAACCATTAATGTAAACCTGCTGCATAAGCATCTCTGGATATGTCATTTGTGACTAATTACCATTGGCCCCACCCATTTTATGGAGCCAGCTGCAGAGATGTGCTCATATTCTCCAGAAGAAAAGCCAGAACATT